AACATGTCAGTACAACACTGAGGCTATTCCAGTGATTAGGACCCGTGTTGTATTTTTACGCTTTCTGCACTTTAATTCCCTATAATTCTTAATTTCGTTTGCTGTTTGTAGCTCAACCCTTATGGGTATGAGCCAAACCTTTTAAGGTTGGGTATAGATACCCGAACCTCAGTAATGGATGATTGTCAATTATGTTTGTTAAACTTTGATTCTCAGTTGTTTAATACCATGCTTTGTAATTAAATATTCTGTCATTGAGGCCTGATGGTAGATATTATGTGAGGAAGTAGTCATTGAGAGGTGACTAATTCCGGAAATGTATTAAGCACATGAACTTGATTATGAGAACATTCAAGGGTTGTCACTCAGAGATGAGGGCAACCACCATGTAATTTTGGACTTGAAATGCATGAGTCCTTACTTCATTTAGCACAAAGATGTGTAAATGATTGTTTGGGATAAAATGGTTTTAAGATATTAAAATCAACAAGAAGTGTTCCGTTAACTAGGAATTAATTTTAATATTATGTAATTGACAATTACTCCATTGCTGTGGGAAAGGTAACCGAAGCCAACCTATTTTTCCAACTATTTTCACGAACAACATTTTTTTATTTCTCTGATTTTTAAATTTTTCAATCATCATTCTGATTTTACAAGTTGTTTTTGTTATCTAAAGATTCTTTTTACATCAGATACTTAAATTGTTTTCCTACTATTTTATTTTATCACTTAGCCCAAGAAATCAATTCTGAAAATCCTAAAAAAAATAAAGTTACTAGTCAGTAATATTTTAATTTAGTCTTGTGATTACTTTGCTTTTTTTTTTTTCTCTTTTTAGATTAGATTCAGTTTTAGCAATTGCAAATTTTAGTCAAGTTAAAAACGCCAAAGATCCTTGTGGGAACGATATTAGGGTCTCAAATACACCCTAAATTACTTGTTGTCGCGTATACTTGCGCGCATACTTGCATAACTGTTAGCAAGGCAACACCCACCATGAGGCATCCTGGAGGTGGAAGCATGCTTCGAGGACCTCACTAGTAAACCAATCAAAAGACTTTACAATCTAACCGCCATACAAAGGCAGTCATATGAACTTATAAGCAGGTCATACCACATATTATAGGTAAATAAAGATGCTGATATGATAATCTATCTCATATATAATCTATCTCTTTAATGACATCTTTCAGAAAAAATAAATAAGAAAATATTACTATTTAAAAGAAAATATTTTTCAAATTAAATTATCATTATTTAACTAGAAAACTTAAAATATAAAACCAAAGATCACGTATTTAATAGGGGCGTGTAGGGGTGAAAGTGGGCTGGGCCGAGCTTTGCCTCGAAAACCCCAAGTCTATGCCAAAATTTTTAATTTGGCCTGGCCTGAGCCTAATACGAGTCTAATTGTTAGCCTCACTTGACCCGTTAGCCTGTTAATTTTTAACTTTCAAGCAGAACCATTAATCAACTTCACAAAATACTCAAATTCTGTTGCTAAAACAAAAATCACAATTTAAACGTCCGAACAGAACAATGAATCACAACAAAACTAATCACAATCTGCATTTAAGTCACTTTCAAAAACAAAATGCTCAAACTAAATAACATATATTTCATCAGATCCAACAAACAAATCTATACTATGTAAATTAAAATAACTACATAAATCCAACAAACACATCATGATGCTTGTAGTAGCCAAAAACTTATTTTCATCTTCTCTCCCTACAAATACAATTCCAAGATTACATAAGTTGGCAAACAATTCGTAAATGTAGAAAACAAAAAACAAGAATAAAGAATAGAAACAAAAAAAAAATAAGATTAAGAAACAAAAAATCTTTTAATAGATTTATATAGGCAATCTCACATGTTGAGATGTTGGTTTTTCCTACATAAAAAATAAAGTCAAATTCCTATTAAAATTTAATCGAATATAATTAAATTATAAAATAATTTCAATTAATTAAATTTATACCTTTTGTTTTTTCTTCAAGTCATATCTATTACGTAGCCAATCTTCGTCGTATATTAAAGCTTGGATGATATCTTCAGCCAAATTAGAACGATAAGCATTAATAACTCTTCTTCCAGCACTAAATGTTGATTCTGAAGATACTGCAAAGATTGGTACAGATTTCACGCAACTCTCAAAGATAGTATTGGTGAGGGAACGAACCTAAAGCCCTTCCACCACGTACTTAGCTCACACGCACCAACTGAACTATTACCATTTGGTACTGCTATGAAGAATATTATTATTATTTTATTTAAAATAAATAATATGATATAGGCCGGCATGTAGGCTTATAGGCCCAGCATGTAAAAAAAAGTCTATCACCTATTTTCTAAATAGGCTTCTTTAAAAGCCCGAGCCTATTTTATTTGACTATATGTAATATGTCAAGTCCGACTTGATATAGGCTAGGTCGTAGGCTCTTGTAGGCCGGGCCGGCTCACTTTCACCCCTAGGGGCGTGTATAGAGCGCTTCACTTCGATTTTTAATTAAAAACCGAACCAAATCGATTTTTAATGTTTTAAAATTGGTTTTATTTTTTTCGAACGAGTTTGAAACCAATTTCAAAGCCGATTTATGGTTTAAAATCAGTTTTGATTTAAAATCTGTTAAAAAATAATTTTAAATTGAAACCGATTTATGATTTAAAACTAGTTTTGATTTAAAATCGATCTAAAATTCAAAATCGATTTTGTACTGGGTTTAAAATTTAAAATTGGTTTTGTAACCTGTTATGAATTAGCTTTAAATCAAAAATAATTTTTTCTTCTATGGAAAATTTATGTTTTTATGTGGAAATTGTATATTATGAGAAGACCCGTTTATGTGTATAAATAATATAAAATAGAAGAGAAAAAAGGTCATATATATATATATATAGGAAATTAATAATGTTAATATTATTTAACAAAGTATTCAGAAGATACTTGCTCCATTTCTCAGTTTGTTTTCAAAATAATTTTAAAAAATCAATTTTTATGAATCATGAATTGATATATATATATATATCCAGAAGAATTAAAAGCGGTTTGATTTCAAAACCATTTAAAAAACAAATTTTTATGAATCGAATTTATTTGATTTGATTAATTTAAATGACTTGCACACCCCTAGTTTTTAAATTTGAAAGAACCATATCTAAAAAAAATAAAAAAAGTATCCTAATTAAAGCACCATGGCACTGAAGCATCGTATTGGCCTACAAAATATATAGTACGGATTTGGACCACAACTGTTGCTGTTAATTTGCCACTTGTACTCAGTGCACATGTAGTGTTGGCGTCACTCTTTACAAATCAATCCTCTGCTGCATATGACCTTTATTTTCATAACATTATTTCTGAGGATGCTCCCTAAGACTAGAAAAGAAGAGATGGAAAGTATCAACTTTCAACTTTTAGCGAAATGTTATATATTTTTTACTATATTTGGCCAGAAGAAAATGCATAACACCAAACCAATAGTGAAAGCCGAATCTGTTCTTATTAAATGTATTTTGAAAGAAAGAGCTAATGAATAAATGAAAACTCTAATCATGCTTGAAACACTTATATACTAATTAATATTAAGTTAAAGTAATAGCACAATTCAACTGGTTATCCACACAGAGCTCAAAAACAAAATTCCTCCAGTCAGCGGAGAAGAAAGTGGCGAAGACGAGTCAAACGAGTCGACCCAAGAAGGAGCTGGTGTGAAGTGAAGATTCTCTCATGCACACAAAATCTGAAGTTTAGCTGTCAGGTGTGTACTTATTCGACCCAAAAGGATATATAGGAAGTCCGTGGAAACGCAATTAAGACCCCAACTGGCTTGGTCAGGGTGGTATCCGACCGGTTCATGCAGGCCGGGTCAGACCCAGTTTTGGTCTTGGCCTTATTTTGCTCGACCCTGCTTTTGTCATGTAATGCAATTAGTAAAGCATGGCTGTCAGATACATTATATCATGACTGCATTTTTATTTTACTTTTGAAAAAGAACAAATGGAAGATGTATCATACATCCATCTATCTATGCCTTTTCTTTTCCCTTTTAATTTTAGAAGGATGGTGGTCGCATTTCAAAAGAGAGAGAGAGAGAGAGGCATCATGTCTGTTAAAAAGCTAGGCGAGGAGGCTCATTTCAGCAACCAATCCGCATATTCTGCTTTGGGAGTGTGGGAACCTCAGTGGAAACACTTCATTACCTTTAATCCATTTAATTATAGTGGAAGCAGTGACTGCAAAATTTCTGCATACATATATGCACGGCTTTGTGAATATTTTAAAGTGAGTACTAGAAAAAGAAGCTAGAACAAGACTATAATATATTTTAAAGATTGGTCATCATATAATAAAAAAAAAAAAATGCATATATACTATACTTTGTAGTTTGTAATAACTTATTATTGAATTGGAAAAAAAGAAAAGAAAAAGTAGAGGACTGTGTAGGGTGGGGGAGTATGGTGGGGTTAAGGCTTTCATGGGGATGAGAACGCATGGGGTATCCACCACTCCACTCGTGCGCGCTATCTATCAATGGCGGCTCGGCTATTGCTCAATTATCATCATTAATGGCATGGTGTCAAAACTGAACCTGTACATGGTAGTAAGCCATTAGAATCGGTCTAATTAACGGTGAAGAATTTAAATAGGTTATATTAGATTATATATTTAATTCACACTAGTATATTAAAAAAAAAAAAAACATCCCTCACTATAGTTTTTTTTTTTTTTAACAAATTGAAGCTTTTAACACAAGTGCGGTGCGGGGTGTCTTGTCAGCGAAGGAGGGTGGAATAACAAAGAATGTGGGAGACAAGCAAAAACACACGAAGGCTATCAACAGTTTGACAAAACGTCTTTTTAGGGTGATTGTGGGTCATACCTATTTCTTCTATACTCTATTCCTTTCCCCACTCTCGCTCTCTCTCTTCACTATATTTATATCCTCACTCTTACACCTTCTCTTCATCACTTTTCTCCCTTTTTCCCACTAACCAAGACTACTAGCTAGCTAGCTAGCGTGTTAGGTACTAGTTCTTCACCAATGGCTGATTCAGGCTCAGCCTCTTCCAGGAGAATGTGGTGCTCCTTCCCCGAACGACTTCAGCTGCATGTGGCCATGTTGGCCCTGCAGTTTGGTTATGCTGGATTCCATGTGGTCTCAAGAGCTGCCCTTAACATGGGCGTTAGCAAACTTGTTTTCCCAGTTTACCGGAATATAATTGCTCTTCTCCTTTTACTTCCTTTTGCCTACTTCTTGGAAAAGTCAGTGCTCCTCCTCTAACAAATCAATTAATATAATATTGCCATTTCCATATATATAGTTAGTTGTACACATAAGTGTACAACATCAACATGGTTGTAAATCTTTCCAGTTATAGTACTCCTACCTTAATTAATTGATTGTCCATCTCTCTCTCAGCAACAGTTTGTTTTCCACTGTTTGTTTTTTTCTTTTGTCCAGGAAGGAGAGGCCTGCCATTACTCTAAATTTACTCCTACAGTTCTTTCTTCTGGCACTTGTCGGGTATGTACAATTTTTACACCACTTACAATTTAATTAGGTAATTGAAAAGAAAAGAAACGATAAACTAGAGGGAAACATCATATCACTGTTTTGTCTTTTTCAACAAAAATAAATAAATAAATAATAAAAGTAATTGAGAACCATAGGCTGATCAGGCTATTTTGCATTACACAGGATTACAGCCAACCAGGGCTTCTACTTGCTTGGCTTGGACAACACAACCCCAACCTTTGCATCAGCGATACAGAACTCTGTCCCAGCCATTACATTTCTCATGGCAGCCATACTCAGGCAAGTCCTTAATTAATTAATTAATTAAATGTGGTTCACTTATTGCATCACCCAACACAACAGGCACACAAATACAAAACATTTATATATAAACATACATTTACAATATTACAATTACAATTTCAGGATAGAGCAAGTGCGTCTGAACCGAAAGGATGGGGTAGCCAAGGTGGCGGGAACGTTATTCTGTGTAGCAGGGGCAACTGTAATTACACTATACAAGGGTCCAACGATATACAGCCCAATTCCACCTCTGAATTCAAACAACATCACAGCACAAGTATTTGGGTCAATCTCATCATCATCATCATCATCACTGGGAGATGCAAAGGAAAAGAACTGGACCCTTGGATGCCTCTACCTTATTGGGCATTGCTTGTCCTGGTCTGGTTGGCTCGTCTTGCAAGCACCAGTCCTGAAGAAGTACCCAGCTCGCCTCTCTGTCACTTCCTATACATGTTTCTTTGGTCTCATCCAATTCCTTGTTATTGCTTTGATCGTTGAAAGAGATGCTCAAGCTTGGATTTTCCACTCTGGTGGAGAAGTTTTCACTATTTTATACGCGGTTAGTATAGTAATTAACTATGTCTACTCATAATCCTGTCTTTGTAAAAACTTTTGCAGTTGCAGTAAAAGTTTATAAAAATTATTTGTATTTCTACTAAAATGATTTTAGAGTAAAATCTAAAGCGCGTAAAGAATAACTAATTTAATATGCAAAAATCTCTCTAGATGTTTCGAGTCTAACCTGAACAAAGATATATAATCGCTTTTTAAATTAGCTTAATTTTATACTGATAAAGAAATTTGTCTATATATATAAGTTGTATGTATGTGTTTAGTTGGGATATGATATATTGATATGTATTACTAAAATGGTTATGCGATAATGTTTTGTTTTGGAGATATATGGTGGTTGAGCCATATGTGCGTCTGTCTATATATGTATGTATATATATTGACAATGAAATGAGAGATAATTAAGTTAATAAGCTTTTTTTTAATTTTTAATTTTAAAATTGTAATATACATTATTGCAGGGAGTGGTGGCATCTGGAATAGCCTTCGCTGTACAGATATGGTGCATTGACAGAGGTGGCCCTGTGTTTGTTGCCGTATATCAGCCTGTTCAGACTCTTGCTGTCGCTATTATGGCTTCCTTTGCTTTAGGCGAAGAGTTCTACTTGGGCGGGTAATTAATTGGTCTTATCCTCTTCATTTTCTCTCTTTAATTTTCTTCATTCATTTTAGTTGTTTAATCTCCTTTGTTCATAGCATCGATCTGCAGATTTCTTTATCGAATCGACTCCTATAAAAACACACAATAATTTAATTTTCTATGCATGATAACATTGACAGTCCACCTTAATTATTGAGTGAGAAATGACGACGACCAAAAGCATCCAACAGTTGCAGGGTATACTTTTGGTTCACGATTATATTTTGAAAACGACAAATGAAATCCACCAAACAATAAGTAAGCTAGAGCTAAGGTAAAGTTGGGACCTTTCGGCGACGAAATACGAACGAACAGCTTTTAATAATTCCACGTTCCAGAGGGAGAGGGTTAATAATAAAGTTTAAAAAGTTATTATAGGATAGGATATTGAATGGAAGGTGCATATATGTACGTGTCTTGGTGTTTTATTCATCTTGTGATGTTATTATAGGATCATTGGGGCAGCATTGATCGTTGTGGGACTGTACCTAGTCTTGTGGGGTAAAAACGAAGAGAAGAAGTTTGCAAAGGAACAGCTTGCAATTGCATCCGCACCGGAGCATAGCAGCGTCAGCGTCAGGTCCTCAAGCCATGCCAAAGGATCACTTACTCAGCCTCTTCTCCCTTCATCAACCGAAAATGTCTGATCAAGAAAACCCTAACTTCAAGCTGGCACTCTATTTTCTCGGAGAGAGGGGAAAAAAATGAAACCAGTTATACATTACTACGTACTACTTTATGTCAGAAAGCTTGTGTGTATGTATGAAGAAGGGGTTTTCATCTTGTTCTTTTTTCTTTTCTTTTTTGGGTTAATTCAAATGCTTTCTTACTAGGATATTTAGAATGAGTTTTTTTTTTTTTTTTGTTATGGGAATGATTACAATGATGGATGTCACTTAAAAGTGGGGTTAGAGCCCGAAATCCCATGTGCTTTATATGTTAATTAATGGTTTGATTTACAAAAGAATATTATTTAAGCTATATGGTCACTGTCTCGAACGCAATGGAAGAGATCATTATTATGACATAGAAGGGAAGGTCATAGAGACCCACATAATTTCCCATAGGTGAATTCTTAACTTTTTTTTTTTTTTTTTTTGGGTACATAATTCTTAACTTGTTTCAAAAGCTGTCTAAGCATGAGGATTTTGATAAGTCATAATTGTCACACAAACGGAATCATCATTTCGGTCGGATTTAATCAATATCGCTAAGTTCTCATCATTACGTAGATTTTATCGACGATCACTTGATGAGGTGCATGCTGGTATAATCCAAAGCACTGAAGTACAAATAACCGAACCCACTTGTGTGTAGGTGTTAGAACGAATCTGCAAAATAGAATGATGAATTGAAGCATATATGTATGATGTGCATTAGCAATGGCCGACAGTATGAGACTGATTTTCTAGCAAGTTAAATCACATTTATCCTTGACTTGTTACAATTAAGTTTATAAATAGAAAGTTTGCATCTAATTACATTGTCTCCATTATGTCCATAGCATATAAGAAGACACGTAGAAACCTGACAAGCTAGCAGCTAAGGGCAAGGAAATAATACATGTTGGTTTAGAAGATACATCCGTGAGGCTACAAGCCAACAGCATGTCATCGTTAATACTTGTGAGGACAAGGACAAATTGACAAAGTTTCGGGTATAATTTAACTTTACTATGATATATATTCAATTAACTGATCCCTATACATCATTAAAGGGTATGAATCATTAGGATCCATTATCATATATATTGTGTTAATCCCGTTTCTTGAAAGCTTACTTTATTGACATTATCCGTCGATAATGCTTTTCCTTTTTTGATGATGCAAACGGCATCCCTTACTTTATTTTGCTCTTTTTCGACCCTTCTTTTTATCCATTGCTTTTGTAGCTGTGTCAAACTAGCAATGGTGTGAATGCGGGGACGGCCTAGGGGAAACGTATTAAAATATCTCTCCTTTTCTCAACCAAAAACACAAATATTTATAGCTCTCCTCTTTTTATATTTGAATTACCAAGGTAAGTGTAATTCACGTTTAGAAGGAAATGTCTGACATAATTATCAATTTAGTAATAATGAGAATTAATGATTAATTAAGGTTGTAGGATATAACTCAAAATTAGTCTCAAGCTTTTTATACACAATTTTTTTATAAATAATTATATCTGAATAAACCCTATAAATTAGTATACTAATTAAAAAAAATACTCAGACTTGTATACATTGAATAAAATATATATTTTTGACCAAACAAATAAATGATGCTTTGTTTACTTTCTACCAGCTGGAAAAAAAAAATAGTTCAAGACTCCACAACGTTATCAAATCATGTACTAAAGGAATTTAAAATACCTCATGTGCTTGAAGTATAATTTAAAACATGATAATTATTCTAGTGTGCTTGAAATTAAATATAATTAGTTTGTAAGAAAATGAGTTGAAATGTTAACAAATATTCAGAATGGCATAACCATTAACTATACACTATTGAAGATATTTCATATTTTATATAAAAGTGATTGTTTTAAAAGTATTTTTCAAAGGAAAAAAAGTGACACGTCACACTAGTATTAATACGAAACAATAGTTTTATGAAAAAAAAATCGATATTGTATATTTTGTTTTTTCCCCCTATGAAATATTGCTTGGACACCAAAATTTTATACCTGTGAATCTGTGATTATAATTACACTTGTTTGCAACTCTTAAAAGATAAAAAGAAACATTAAATAAATCATTACAATAACAAATTAATGACCGCAAAATAAGTTATTAATTAACTATTAGAAACGATTAAAATAAGTATAAAATTAATGGGGAAGGAAAATAACACTGTCTTTTTATTAGGAGCCTCTGACACATTTTTTTAAAAAATTTCAAACAAGAAGTTACTTTTAAGCTAAAGTTAAAAAAAAAATTAAAAAATAAAATACTAAATTATTTGGTGATTATATAAAAGAGGGAAGATAAAATAATTGTTATTAGGATGGACTATTGGAGCAAATGATAGAATTTATAAATATAAGTTTATAATAAAGGTAAAACTGTAAAATAAATATAAGAACTCCAAAAAACTGATATATATTTTTTAAAAAACTTATCCCAGGAGTTTTTAACTTTTAAATTTTTTTTTTGTTATAAAAAAACTCTTTTATAATAAAAGTTTTTATAAAATAAAAAAATTAAAATAACCGGACGCTACTATGTGAAACGCATGAATCGGCTTATTCAGGCCCTAAAAGCATTGAGCTCAATAAAGATTAGCCTGACTCAATGAAATTTGAGGGCCGATGAGTTAACCCACTGACCTTGAACCAATTATGTGGAAAACATAGGCCAGTTTCGTTTGCCAATTTCGAAACTGGACTCACTAGACAATGTGATTTGAGCCCAGTCCGTGAAAGTACGTAAGCAAAATGCGCCAACTGAGCATGCTAAGCTTAAATTGACAACTCTGCTTTTTACGTTAATGGATGACAAAAAATAAATAAATTATATTCACGGATCCCTTTAGGGAGTGTTTGGTAGAGGAAAAAAAAAAATTATCCGAGAATCACGATTTTCAGAAATATGATAAGAAAATGAGTTTTATGGGAATGTTACTAAAAAGTTGTTTGGTAGACTAACATATCCCCGAAAATATTGGGTTAATTTTCTTGATGCTATGTTTAGTTGTATTGAATTTTTCCTTACCATAGAAATCCTAAAATACCACCTCATGGATGGTATTCCTGGATGATTTTTTCAAAACAATTTACACACAAAATAAAATTCCGGAAAAATTAGATTCCCTGAAATTTTTTAAAAATCTTGTACCAAACGTGGATAAATAAGATTATCATTTTCAGTTTCCCGAAAATCTTAAAAAAATTCTTGTACCAAACGGCACCTTAGAAATAAATGCATTTTTCCTTACCAAAGAAAAAAAATTCCTATACGGGACGGATCATTCTAAAAAAAAAATCATAGGCAAAGAGTATCTAATAGCATGTTTGGTTTAAGAAATATTTTAGAAAAAGGTGAACTTTATACATATTTGAAAACATGAGACAAAGTAAAAATAAAATAGTATTTTTGTATTTTTTTGATAACAAAAAACAAAAACAGGAAGTTTTTTCTTAAATCAAATAATTCTAAAATTGTGGAAGATTAAAATTTTAAATGTAAGTAAGTAGGATTCCAAAGATGATCTCTCTAGTCCAAACCTAGATATTTGCACCCAAATACTTCACCTACTAAAAATAGTTTACAATAATTTTATCTTTTACTTGCAGAATTTCTTTCTCACCCTTTACGATGGAACTCTTTCAAGTGCTTGCTTGATACTTAAAAATTTCTCTTCCTTCTCAATTTATAGATAAACTTTAGCACAATTTTTCCAAGCCTAGATGAAAAAGAAAATAAACTAGGTGCAGGACTTTTGACCAAAATTATCTTGAACTATATGTATATCTAGAGCTAGTGGTGTAGTCACACTTATGCCCGCAGGTGCCTTGGCACCTGCTTGGTTTTAAATTCTTTTACTTATTATATATAAATATAATTAATTATAATTAACAAAGATTCAATTTATAATTTGGCACCACTTAAATAAATAATTATATTTATGTTTTTCGATCAGAAAATAAAATTCAATACCCAAACTTTTTTACCTAACCCATAAATTACGATCACTTTCAAAGTCCTAATTTGTGACTTACAAGTGCAATCAGATTTCTCTCAACCTTGTGTCTTGCTCCTTTTTTCGTTTGATTTGTTGCACAACTTGCTTGCTCCTGTGAGGCTTTGACTGAAATAGCAATGGCTGTGGTTGGCTACTTGGCTTGGGGTTTGGGCGCTTGCCTCTGCAATTTGTATATCTATTCAAAATGTGTTTGGTGTTTTGTGCTTTTAAGAAGGTGCTTGTGCTTTTTCTTTTTACTGAAAAAATTAGTGTCTTTTTATATGTTTGTTTTGATATATAATTATTGACAATTGTTCATTTCAATTTTCAATGTTATGTGACATTATTTAATATATAATTTAAATAAGTATGCTAGAATTTATAATAATTTTTTTTAGATTAATTTGTGTAATTACGATAAATATTTTCATAATTTGATATGTTCAAATTTTTTGACACCACCTAAACTTTTAGTCTGGCTCCGCCACAGTCTAGAGCTATGTGTATCTTAAGTCATGTATAGCCTACATTTAATTAAGGAGGAATAAAATACCTCGAACAAGACTAGGGGATGACAGATACATACTGTAGCATAAGGTCTATGTATGATATACTGACACTTCAAAAAATCAAACTTGTTGTATCCGACACACTTTAACACGCGTTACATAAACTTAAAAATTGATTTAAAGGTTATGTTGCGTTTTTAGTTTCAACTATTAGATTCGTTGGATTACGATTATTATTTATTGAATTTAATATAAATATTTATGATATCTAATATTTATTTGTAAAATTGATGAATATTATAAATTTAGCTTTATTTTTTTGTTAAATTATTAAATATTAAATATAACATAAATTACATAAATTAAAATTATTATTTAATATTAAAATATATTCTAATCTATCAAATCTAATATTTTTTAAAATTAATGTATGAAAATATTATTTCAATATCGGTACAACATGCACGCAGTCTTCGTTTATTGACTTTCTTTCATTGTGAATCGACAACTTATGTTGCACTGACACCGATACGGGATACGACACGACACGACACTCCGACACGTTAATTTTAAAAAATGTTAAATTCCGACACGCTGGACACGTTTTGATATTATATAATATTTTTAATTTTTGTAGTGTATATTATATTTAATATTCAATAATTTAACAAAAAAATAAAGCTAAACTTATAATACCTATCAATTTTGCAAAGAAACATAAGATATCTCCAATATTTATATTAAACTCAATAAAATAGTAATCGTAATTCAATGAATCTAATAGTTAGAACTCAAAATACAACACGTAACCTTTGAACTTTTTTTTTGAATATTTGCAATGAGTATTGGAGGGTCGAAAAGTATCGGATATGACACGTCAGAGATTTTAAAGTGTGTGTGCTTCATAGTTGATAACTATGTACACGATCTTAAGAGCTTCAATTCTAATTGGAACATGAATTTCGTATACTGTACGAAATACAGAGCCATTCACAGAAATTAAAAGAAAATGGCAAGGCGGTTTTCTTTAGACTTTTTTTCACAGATTGATTGATTAATGACTTTTCTTTTGTTACTTTGTTGATTCCCATGTTTCTTACATTCATTGCTTCTGCATAAAGTGCATATAACGTACGTCGAAATGTCTCGTTTAATCTTGATTTATTTACGAGTTTTATTAAGGGTTTTATAAGAGTTATATTGTAGGAAAAGTAATTGTGTAATGTTATAGAGATTCGTTTTGCGTGCCGTATTTTTCTTTTTTCTTCAAAAAATGTGGGTCCCACAAAATGTTATGTGTGTAGGAAAGTTTGTTGTGTCATGTTAAATGACAAATGCAAATCCCTTTTATTAATCTCGTGCGGTAAAAGGAAAACTCTTTCATGTTATAGAGACAATTATATGTGGAATTTTCTACTTATAAAATAAACAATAATAATAATATAGAAATTAATATATGTGTAGAGAGAAAAATACTCTCCTATAACATAAGAGTATTTTTTTTTTATACAAAATCTTGGTTTTTTTTTGTTAAGCAAAATCTTGGTTTGTTTATTTCCGTAATACTTGCAAAATCGTACATTTTATTTTCAGTGATTACAAATATCAATTCAAAATAAAATATTAATTATAAAATTATTACGACAAGATTTAAATTTTTTTTAGTATATAAGCCCCAATAATTGCTGTTCTACTGAAACTTTCACCCATGATCTTCATATTTATTTCATTTTGCATGTTCTCTTTCAATTCTTGAGAGTCGATTACCAGTATAACAAGAGATTTTTTAAAAACTGATTTTGGTATATGCTTAAATTTGAGTTAACTATAAATTTTTTTAAATATATACATCACCTCAATTATGTGAGTTATTAATATCTCTCACTTTAATTACATTATTAATATTATAGGTGAAATGATACACATTAGATTAAACAGGAAAAAAAGAGTAAGAAAATCTCTTACTCTATCTGCACCCAATAATTTTTCAAGAAAAAATAAGAGAAAACAGACATGTGATCTGACTAATATTTTTATTAAGTATGCTTAAAGAAATATTAAGTAATATTTTGGATCGTGATTGATAGATGAATTTATTTTTGTGGTCCCTCCTGTTTCGTTAAGATTGTTGTTTTAGGTAGATGCTGCTGACATTTGTCATCCTAGAAAAAGAATTAGGTAGTTTTGTTTTTGTTTTTTTTTTTATGCTTTTGTTAGTTTTTGTTTTGTTTTGTTTTATTTTATAATTTGCTGGTTTGTTTTTTCAGTTTCATGTATAAAAAAAGAAGAAGTAATATTTAGCAATAGTAGCAGGAGTATTTATTCCTTTCCTAAAAATAAGAAAAGATGGGACTTAAATGTCAATAATCATAAAAGGGTAAGTAAAATAAAAGAAGTCAATTTTATTTTTTTTAAATTTAGTAAAAAAATTGGTCAAAATTTTTGTCCCGTTGGCAATGGGTTACTTTCGAGACTTCAATCTCATCTCAGGTTAAGTTGACACACCGTTGACGGTTAGGTGTTAGCTAATGAGTGTTGGGTCAAAATTATCACTCTCTAGTCTTTTTTTTTTTTTTTTTTCAATTTACTTACTGGTGATTGGGTCTCCAGCAGTAATCTGATCATCATGACATGGTTTATGAAATTGAGGTTCAGGAAGCGGCGCGTGGCTCGAGCATATTCGAATATTCCTACACTCGCCATGCCAATTAATCTGCTTTCCTAATAGATCTTCTCTATGAGTATGAGTATGACTATATACAATTGTATCTTATTGTAGTGGTAACTAGCATTCGAATCAACAGAAAAAGAGATGGGGTTGATTTGGCATAGAGGGTTTGTTGGTGCTTTTCTGCTTATAGTCTTGGTTTTTCTTTTTAGCACTGGAGAGTTACGTTTCTGTATTGGTGGAAAGACCAGTACTTTTATGAGAAATGATTACTTGTCGTTGGATATGCCAATAGACAGTGATGTGTTCCGTGTGCCTCCTGGTTACAATGCTCCTCAGCAGGTAAGCCCATTTTTTAATCACTCTTTAAAAAGATAAGAGAGATAAAGAGAATAAGTAACCAAGTTCTAATTTCTCTTGAGGATGTGGATTTGGAAAGGTGCATATAACACAAGGAGATCATGTGGGGAAGGGTGTGATCATCTCTTGGATTACCCCAGATGAACCCGGCTCAAGTACCGTGATTTATTGGGCGGAAGACAGCAAATTCAAATGGCAAGCATATGGGTTTTTTCTTACCTACAAATACTTCAATTACACCTCTGGTTATATTCATCACTGCACTATTCAGAATCTGGAGGTGCGTGTCTCACTTCACTTGTCCTCCTCAATCTCACTTTTCTTAACTTAACAGCAGCCATTGGGTAATAGTAACTTATTCTCATTGCAAAGACAGCTTGACACCAAATATTACTATGAGGTTGGAATAGGGAATACCACTCGACAATTCTGGTTTAAAACTCCTCCTCCTGTTGGCCCTGATGTTCCTTATACATTTGGTCTCATTGGTAATTAACACTTCCTCCTGAAATGATTTTCGTTATCTGCTTCTATGCTTAACTAGCTTAACGTGCTGTGGCTATGAAATTTGTTAATTTGATGCATGACTCTACTAATTTTTTGCTGGAGAAACCTCTCATTATTGATCTTGAATTGTGTATACTTGATAATCTTACGTTCGCCTCCTTATAGGCTTCAAGGTGAAATGTACTCTAATATTCCTTGAAATGGATTATTGATCATGAAAGTGCACAAAGTTTACATACAAATGTAATTCTTTGTCAGAATGGAATCTTACTCTCTCAACCATAACATTATCGAGCAGGGGATTTAGGCCAAACTTATAATTCCAACAAGACGCTTACCCATTATGAATTAAGCCCAGCGAAAGGCCAGACAATACTGTATGTGGGGGATCTCTCTTATGCTGATGACTATCCATTTCATGACAACACGAGGTGGGATACCTGGGGAAGGTTCACTGAGAGAATTGCTGCCTATCAACCTTGGATTTGGACTGCAGGAAATCATGAAATTGATTTTGCTCCGGAACTTGTATGTGTTTAATACCTGAGTACTTGACTATGTTGTTTTCAAGTTGGACTTTCTGTGACTTGTTATTTGAATTGCTTTATTTCTATATATTGGAGGGCTCTTTTTTGATATTTATACACACTTGTGCAAAGTCTTTAATAATTAGACTTAAAACTACAGAGTTTTACTGCAGGGAGAAACTAGACCATTCAAGCCTTATACTTCTCGTTATCATGTACCGTACAAAGTATCAGATAGTACATCTCCATTGTGGTACTCTATCAAGAGAGCTTCAGCATACATCATTGTTATGTCTTCTTACTCAGCTTTTGGTAATATCTTTTGTTTTCAAAATTTCCTACTAGCTTTTGAATATCTGTTGTGCAATATTTGTCAAATAAATAGACAGTTTTGAATAGTGACTATAAAGAACCATTTCAACCCAAAAATTTAAAGGTGAGGTTATATTAATAGTTTTATATATTTCTAATAGTGACATTCTCTAATTTTTGTCAATTTGCATGATGCATAGTTTCTCCACAAACAGCTTAAGAAGGGAGAGGTTGTTTCTACCCAAACGGATAAACCTTTATAAAGGAATAATGAAATCAGGGATATTTTTTTCTTTAATGACTGCTGATAATTACTAGCAAAATGCGCTCATATATTTTAAGTTCATGTCAGATTGACTAAATATATCCCATAAGCCAAATAATTAACCCGGGGTCTATACCCCACCTCTCGAGTTGATATCTTTAGTCCTGTGAATATACTTGAATTAGTGTTTGTGGTTTATGCTATGTACGAAAATATGCTCATTATGCACAACTCAGGATCACAGATGCTCTCATGCACAAAGTAATTATATAGATTTGTGAAGATACAGATTTTCATTTTCTTGTTTTTCCCAAGGTAAATACACTCCTCAATACAAATGGCTTGAAAAGGAGTTACCCAAGGTGAACAGGACTGAAACACCATGGCTGATTGTTCTCATGCATTGTCCAATATATAGTAGTTATGTGACTCACTACATGGAAGGGGAGACCGTGAGAGTAATGTATGAGAAGTGGTTTGTGGAGTATAAAGTGGATGTTGTATTTGCTGGTCATGTTCACGCTTATGAACGATCTGTAAGTTATAAATTTCTTATTGTCCTTTACATCGTATTAGTTATATCACAAGCATGTGTATCACTGCATCTTCATGATCTTTCACAGAAGTTGAATGCTACCCTAGTTATATATGTTTTCTAGCTCTAGCAATACATCAAATGAAGTTGTCAAAGCAGAGTATTCAACAGCATAGCTCTCCTGCACTTTATCTTTATCAGTAAATGACAATCTGAGGCTCTGAGCAAATTGAATTCATGAAGGATGATATATGGAGATTGAAAACAATAATTTATGTAACCCCCTCCACCCCCTGTAGTTTTGTGTGTGGGGAACTTGCTTTCACCATTTCTTTGCTTTTGTTAATGTCTCCTCTCGGTTGACAGAATACGCAATGATTAGGAAAAAGGGATCCAAAGCAAAAGTTGAGACAATTATGGGTTAAAGTTGCTTTTTATGGCTTAAGAAGTTTGAGGAAATACACGACTACTTTCTTTTACTTACATAAGGAACAAACTCTTAAAACCACATACACTTTTGTTGCAGGAACACGACTACTTTCTTTTACTTACATAAGGAACAAACTCTTAAAACCACATACACTTTTGTTGCAGGAACGTGTATCAAATATTGCATATGATATTGTAAATGGGCTGTGCAGACCCATTAATGACCAATCTGCCCCAGTTTACATAACAATTGGAGATGGAGGAAATTTAGAAGGACTGGCTACTGAGTAAGTATATATATATATATATATATATATATTTTGTTTGTTGAAATAACTGAGTAAGTATATTAACTAGATATAGCATTGATCTCTATAACCTTATTATTATTATTATAGGTTTTCAGCATTTTAAATTTGTCTGCACTAGTTGACATCACAGTAAATTGTCTTTCAATGCTGCAGCATGACAGAGCCCCAGCCCAGCTACTCAGCATACCGAGAAGCCAGTTTCGGCCATGGGACTTTTGATATAAAGAACAGAACTCATGCCCACTTTAGTTGGAATCGTAATCAAGATGGATATGCGGTGGAGGCTGATTTTATATGGTTGCACAACAGATACTGGAGTCCCCCAGAAGAATCATCATCTCTTGCTATAAAATAATCGAGACAAGTAGTGTGGAATTAGTTGATGACGTGTAAACTACCTAGAATGTGTAATTAGTTGATGACGTGTAAACTACCTATGTATTACAATGCCCTAGGAATGGTTGGGACCATTTTATAGTTTGTCATATATATTAGTTTCTTCCCACGTAAATTTTTATATTCTGTCATAATTCAATGCAATTTTATTGTAGAATATAAATAAATGATACTAAATTAAAGAATAGACGATGTATACTATTTTCCACTTTCGGTTGAATTATGTGCTCAACATTTTCAAATATAGAAACCTAACAACTACTGCACCTAAAAAAAATCCTCTAGTTCCTTTTTAATATAATCCAAACAATCATTATCATTTTGATAAAATCTTTACCAATCTTAAAGCAATTGTCACTATACATTTTTTTTTTTTAGTTTATACCACCATACTTTGCCACAAGGTTTTTTTTAATAAATTTGAAGATTTTGTTCCCTTAAAATTTTATTTTGTGCAAATTTCGTGCAAGATTCACATTATTTATCTTTTGATTTAAGATTACTTTTTTTATTAAGATTTATTTTTTTCAAAAAATTATTTGTGATATACACTTAAATTTGATAACTACTTTGTATAAATTTTTTTTATAACTAATAGCTTTATAAATAAAAAACAATGCTAAAAGTGTTAGGCAAATTTTTTTTCAAACAATACTTGTTATTATTTTCCCCCCACGTGTCAACCCTTAAGATAGGATGACCAATTAATAACTTCAACCTACGTCATATTTCTTCACCCCAAGGATCTATTATATGTTGTTCATATTCTGCGAATTTTCAAGACATAATTCAAAATCATTTCATGAATATTGACAGTGCGTTCAAAGTGATCCTCATGATATTCTAAATCATCGTGCTCTATATAAACCAGGGGTGGTCATGAAGGTATTTTGTCAATCAAACTGTAAACTATGCACATAATTGGTTGTACAGTTGTCAAATATCTACAGTTGAAGATTAGTAGAGAAGAATTGAGTAATTTTTTTTGGGGAAAGTCACCAAATGGATCCATATACCTGATGCAGTAGGGCAATCTCTGAGAAAAAAAGTATTAGCTTATTACACTGTACTCTCCTGCTCTAGGATATGATCCATAATATTTTGCTTGTTTTGTTATTTTTGAAAGACATTGAAAAACTGTCCTTCATAAAATATAAAATATATGTATTTTATTAAATAAATAATGGAGTTAAAATATAAGCATGGTACTTAATAAAATAAGAAATGTAAGTATAATTTTTCAAACAGAAAGAATGTTTGAGCGTAATAAATATTAACTTCAGAAGAGTTTAGTATAATTACTTAAAGGGTTCCAAGTCCTCAGTTTAGCTCCCATTGGGCTTCTGATTTTTCATGTCTTCTTGTAATTTCTCACTATCTTTCAATAATTTGTCTAGTTTTTCCAATCAAATTAATTCTCTGATTACAAGAGTCTTCTTTTATAAAAAAAAATTATTTGTGATATACTTGAACTTGATAATCAGAATTTTATAAATAAAAATATTAGGAGAATTACTTTTAAAGAATTCTATTCTCCCATCGCTATCAACCTTGTCAATTACTCCCCACATTGTCTGTATTGATTTTTCTCCAATGGCCAACCCATAGGAGTGAAAGACAAATTAATAACGTTCACCATCATATTTTTTCACCCAAGAATCTGTTATATATATATATATATATATATGCTGTTCCCATTCTGCAAATTTTCAAGACATAATTCAGAATCAATTTATAATGAGCATTGGCAGGATGTTTACATCCTCGTGATATTTTCAAATCATCGTGCTGAATATGAAACTGCAGTTGCTCATGAATGTATCTTGTCAACGTGAATTACGCACACAATTGGTGACACAGTTGTCAAACATCTACTGTTTGAGATCAGTGGAGACAAATTGAGTAATTTCTTGAGGAATCACCAAATGAATCCATTTACTTGATGCAGTATGCCAATACTGTTTGTCAAACATCAAACTAAGAATTATGCACGTACATATCAAAAAACAAAAAAGAATTATGCACGTACTGGTGGCACAGTTGTCAAATATCTACTGTTGGAGATATGTGGAGAAGAACTGAGTAATTTTTTTGCGTAGTCACCAAATGAATCCATATATATAGTTGATGAAGTAGGGCAATCTTTGAGAAAAAAAATATTATCTAAGGTATTGTCCATGATACTTTCCTTGTGTTATTTAAACTGTTCTTGAAAGTATCCTACGTAAAGAATGGAAAGTATGTGCATTATCTTAAATAACAATGGTGTTAAAATATAAGCATGGTACTAATAATTAAACATGTAAGTCTATCATTTCAAGTAAAAACATATTGAGTGTAATAAACATTAACTTAAAAAAATTAATATAATTACCATTAAAAAGTTACAAATTAAAATGTTTCACTTAACAACAAAAGCATTGTCAAGAAAATAAATTCAGAACAAGACCCAAATATTTTTAAGCTTGATTTCACTTTTGAACCTCTATTTTGCTCAATATGCAATTTTATTTTCTTAATAATTTCCTGTTGCAATCGAATCTTATAATTTTTTCAATTAAAATTGAGGTCCCTCATTAACAAAAATAAATGAAATGACCAACAATATATATATATATATATATATATATATATATATGCATGCGAATTTAATCCATGTGAGTGCATTATTTTGTAATATTTTATATATATCATTTCATAGTTAAATTATTTATATCAAGAGATTTAATTAAATTAAAGTCACCAATGAATTTATTAAAGTATCAACACACTTGACTGTATAATAAAGGGACCTAATTTTTTTAATTAAAAAAATTAGGAAATTTAATTATTAAAAAAACCAAAGTCTTATATTAAGTATTGACAACCAATTCCTAAACAGCTACAATGAAGTTTTTGGCAACCTGTTTTGGCCAGTTGGTATTGATATAAGATTGCAAATTGCTTAAAAAGTAAGTATAAAACAACTTATATTAAGGATTAATTTAATTTGTAAATGAAATTTTATAATTTAAAAACTTTTTAAATAGAAATTGTTTTACTCTTAACGTCTGCACAACTCGTATATATGTGTGCAGAAATTCACACTAAGTCTTAGATTGAATTTAATTTTAATTACTAATTTTTAAATATTATTTTATTATTTAAAAACTTGAGATTAGGTATTTAGTGAGGTTAAATCTATCGCTGCTTTCCTCTGAGATAGGGCCAATAATTATCCATAAACTCAAATCTGAAAAATCAAAAGACACTTTTCTCCAAAACATTCTTAAAACAAAATAGTTTTATTTTTAAAATATTTTAAACAAAAATTGATTTACAACTCAACATAAATTTTTAAAAATAAGTTCGAGGTTAACCAAATTGATCAACATCTTTTTTTAAAAAATAAAATGTGCTTGAGGTAGTTATTATAGTAAAAAATAATCAAGGTCATGTTTATTCATTGTTTTGGGAAGTTATTTGTTTTTTTTTTTTTTTTTTTTTTTAAAAAAAGATATGGTTTTTAGAATAAAAAATGGGAGAACATAACAAAAAAGGGAGAAAAAAGAGAGAGGAGAATATCTAAAAGATGATGTTCTGATTCTGTTTTTTTTTGTGTTTTTATTCCATAAAAAATGAAAAATATGAAGAATAACTTGTTTTGATTAAAAAATTGTAATTCTCCCAAATCAAAACTCTAACCTGTTTCAGAACTGTTCTCTGTGAAGAAGATGAACATTCTCCCCTTCTTTGGCTCTGATTTCCCTGGCTTGTTTCGTTGGCTTTGATCGATCGAATTCCATAGTCTTTGTTCCCAGTTTGACATAGCTGATTTTCCATCACGTGACCATCGCATGCCCTAGCTGATTTTCCTTTCCCCCTTCTTTCTTTCTTTCCTTTTCTCTGATTTCCCTATTCTATTCACTCTCGCCTGTTTCTTTCTCCACCTTGATCGACTTTCACAAGTCTTTGTAGTGTAACTGAGTTCCCCTGTTCTCCCTCTTTGCCTTAATTAATCAACTTTCACAGTCTTCGTGGCCTAGCTGATTTTCCCACACATGCCCTAGCTAGCTGATTTTCCCTCACCTAACAGACAGTGCAGTGCCCTAATCTGAAATGATTGCCAGGTGGCTCGTTCTTGTCTTCGTGGCTCAATTTCAGGTTCCTTTATTTTATTTTATTTTTTTATATTAATTTCATTTCTCATTTCTCAAGGTTTGTGTGTATATCTCTATTTTTATTTTAGAGAGTATAATGACTTGAAAATTGATTTTAGAATAAGAGAATCGTCAAGTCAAATTCTGAATGACGGCTTAGATTCAACAAACTTAGAATGGAATCTTTACCTGCCTGAAAAGGAAAAAATATTTTAATAGATGACCCCATTGATTTACTAAATGGATCAAATCATGATAATTTTTAAAAAGAAAATATCCTAAACCAAACATAGGCAATAGGCATAAGACTTTTCCAATAATACACTCCATGCAACATTATTATACATAACATTACAAGTGCTTAATTTATTCATTATCAACACAACTGCACATAGGCAGCACGACTTATTTATAACTGCACGAAAGATACTTTACGAGCACTAGCACCATTTCTCAACACTATTAAGTAGCGAGGGCATTGACTACCACAACTCACGTAATATTACATATAATAATATTATTATTACTATAGAAGAACCACGTTAAAGTGCTATAGTAACTTCAGCACCGTGATCTTCTGAAGACTTAAAAACACACTATAATAACTATATATCTATATAATAGTTATATTGGAATAGATGCTCTCATCATGCCTAGCTATTTCTAGCTAGTCGTAACTGTGCATCATATTTGAAACGTGGGTAGCCCTCGAATACACACTATATATATGCATAATATATATATATATATATATATATATATATATATATATATATTATGCATATATATAGTACTAGATAACAGGTCCATGTATCATTAGAATCCTTTGTGACTTTCCCTTGATATCCATAGTGATGAGTGATTACATGCACCATGGAGTCTGCATAGGGTCCCAGACAGCCGCATCTGGTGGCAAGTTATCCGTTGCATAAACCCCAGCATCTGGTGGCAATGGCAAGTTACCAGTTGCATAAACCCCAGCCTCTGGCACGTTACCAGTTGCATAAACACCAGCATCTGCAGTTATGGGAAAATCTAGGGACATGTCAGTTTCTGCCCAGATGGAATCATCTAAAATTGGCAAGCCCTCATTCATGGAATCTTCTAAAATTGAAAAGTGATCATTCATGGAATCATCTAAAATTGGCAAGCCATCATTCATTGTCCCCCAAAATGGACAAAACTCCTCTTCCTTCTCCATGGGCTTTGCATAGGTTTCAATTGGCATGGGGTTGATTTCCAAGGGAAGAGACATGATGGAGTCACTGGTGTATATTGGTGCAACTCCAACTTGTTGAGAAGCCATGGAAACTGGTGGGTTGGTATTGAAAGTAGAAATATTGGTCATGTTTAAGTTGGGTTGAATCTGAGGCTGAGGATGAGGCTGGTTTAGGTTTTCTATTTGGACAATCTGATCAGGGCTAACAGAAGATGGTGGTGGTGGACATTGAGATTTTTCAGACACAGGGAGTTCTGGTAGATTGAGCTTAGCATCTGAGCCATAAAGCTTGCGTGCAGCAGCATCATAAGCCAAGGCAGCCTCATAGGAGGTCTCAAAAGTCCCAAGCCAGAGGCGAGCACCACGATTGGGTTCACGGATTTCAGCAACCCATTTTCCCCAAGTTCTCTGTCTCACACCTTTGTAGGTGCAACTTGCGTTTTCGGGGCCTCCTTTACCCCTCATACAACCCTTTCTGGAGCTGGCCTGTGCTGATTTCTTCAACTGCTTTTTCTCCTCAGTTCCCATGCCTGGTTTCTGCATTGTGATGTGTTAATTTGGTAGCACACTTATCAATAACGAGGGGGGGTTACAAAAGAAGAGATAAGCTAGCTCTTGGGCTTAGTGAGGGAATGAGGTCCATGGATATATATATTCTCTATTTATATTGCCAAAACAAGGCAAATAAATGAGAGTAAATACTCAAAAACGAGTCCCTGAAACGTGGCCTTTAGTGGTATTAAGCTGCTACTTGGCACGATGAACCAGACAGATAGTGTCCCTTATGAACCTCTTTGTTGATTTCTCTTATACACACTTGGCCTGCGCTTTTGTTGGCATAACAGCTCAGGTGGCAAACGGGCAAGAGCAAACAAAATTCTAAACTCAATTTTCCTTTTTTGATATTTTCCTTTTTGTGAAAGAATTTTTGTGATAGATGAAATGAATGTAGAACAAAAGTATATAAGATGAGACAAAAAGAGTAAAAGAAAATTAAAGCTGTGAGTCAGAGAAAGCGGTTGTTTGGATAATGATCTTTATATATATATATATATATATATATACATTGCTTTTTCCTTCATATGGATAATTTACATTTTGGAGTAATAGTGTTATTTTACCATTGGGTGTAGGCGGCGTCATTTGGAGTAAACGATTGAAGATAAGTGCGTGCGGGGGTTCCAAAACTGGGCACGTGACAATTAGCAACGAAGCATTCATCCGTGGGAAGAAAAAATCTCATGTGTTTCAAGTGAAGGACTTGGGAATCAGTAAATAGTAAAAAGGCAAAACCAGATCCAATGGATTAAGACACTAGAAGTACCAAATGGAACCTAGTTATGAGAGTTTTACCCAAATTAATTGATCGGCATTGTGCACCCTCTTTATTATTGGACACGTAATTCATTGCCCTACTGTTAGGTAGTGTGCCCTTGTCTTTGATGTTTGATGGGTAAAGAAAGAAAAGAGACCAAGGTTCCTCCAAGCCCCAGTTAGGAACACCCCTCCGAGAAGTCTAAATATAAAGAACCGTGCAGAACATCCTCAAAACAGAAAACAACTCATCATATGGATCTATGAATAACGTTACTATAATTGAATGAAAGTGCCAATATTGAAAAGCCAGATAATTTAGAACAAAACAAATACAAGCACCTCGGCTTAACAGAGGCCTATTGTATTCTGAACTATTGTTACAGGTTTTCTAGACTACCGTCAGCAACAACCTAGCTCCCCGAGTTGACCAAGAACTAAAGCCCCTTATAACAATTTTAAAAGGACAAAGTTTTATCTTACAGCAACAAAGCATGCTAATATACAGTGGCGCCAAACTGACCCTATTGCACAAAGTTCATAACACTATTTGTTTCCATTTTAAATTTTAGTTTTCCCATTTCTAAAAAATAGCAGATCAAAAATTGATAACATAAAATCATAGATCTAGAGCCACGGCAAATGTAGTGGCCAATGATTAGAAATTTTGGGCGAATTTTGATCACTCATTTAAATATTACAAAATTCAAACCAACTGGGATCAAAAGCTGTTTGTATAATCCTCATGTATATACTCAATTTGCATAAAGGAGACTGTATCTGTAACTATGAGAGGTCACTAATGATAATATCTTCCCAGGGAAGACAACACGTACTGGAAATTTTTCAGTGCAGTTGACTTTTTGTAAAGACACTTTACCTTCTCAGTGTCATCTCTAATCAGTAATCACATTTGTTGTCAAAGCCATATTATTTTTCCTTGCATCATCAGTTGCATGCTGTATGGCATTTCTAACTAGCATCTGGATAGGCAAAAAGAAAAATCCGAAGCAAGGGTGAATCGCACAATAATTACTAAAGATAAGAATATGCAACACTGGCAGTTAATATTCCAGACATAATATATGTAAAAGTGAACTCAATTTTCTAAATTATTCAGTTTATCACCAATCTAAATGGGTAAAAAATACTCCATCATAACAGTATAATGCACCAATATTATCACTTATGGATCAAATTATTCTAAAGCATCACTAGATCATAAAACAATAGATTACAAATTTACTTGTCATGAGGGAAAGCAGATTAGTTAACATTTCGTGAATATTCTATTCTCTCGCCCAGACAGTCAATATCGACGAGGAAAGAGGAGCAGAACGTTTCATATAATTTTCTAGCTCTTTTGACAGAACACTAGAAAATGTTTCTTCAATAAAATATACATAGTGAATATATAGTACAACTTATAGGCTTAGGAATGTACAAAGTCGGGTTAATCGTGCAATTTTGAGGTCAAAATTCCCATTGCATTCATCATCATTGTCTCCATCCTCGTCTCCATAGATCATTAAATCCCCTCCATCTTCATTGCCTGCCATAGGAAGGACAAGGGATCCATCAAAGTCCCTCTTATAAGAGCTATTCTTCCTTGGCTTTTACCTTGTGATTGTGACTCATCAAGAATTGTTTCGTAGCCATCCTTGCTAATCAAAATGTTTCTGCATGGGTTGTGCATCAATTGTGTTTTCTACCAGAAGATTCATAATTTAAGAACACAATTGGAATTTCGGAATTCATGACTATCATATACATTAATTGGATAAGTGATACTAACATTTATCCATAATGCGAAACGATGCTTTGATCTATGAAAGCCTTCTAGATAATTGAAATCTTTTCTCCGCCTCTATTACTTTTTTAATATGTTCTATATAGCACATAGGAGATATAAATGCACCATTTTCATCATGTAAATGCTACCATCAAGTAGTTACACAACTTTTATAAATTTTCATACTTTTCATTAAAATTATTCTTTCAGCCCTTTCATTAAATCACACACATTTTCTTTATACATGAATCAAATAAAGCCTTACATCCTCCCACAGTCCCACTTGACTTGGGTGATGTGGTAAAATATAATGCTATGATTTAATGAAAATCAATTATAAAGTGCAGAAATAAGGCTAAACTTTCATACATTAATTGCTTCATAATTCATAATAAGGAATAAAATCAATAAGAATCATGGTGATTCTACACATCCATTTGGATGAGATTTTTTTCTTCCCAAAATGCTACCTTTTTTAAAAATAAAAGTGCTGTTTAGATGCAACTTTTTAAAAAATAAAAATTAGAAAAGATAGTACTTCTTTTAAAAGTCAAGAGTTTTGACTTATAATAAAGTCAAAATTCTTTATTTAAAAGAGTTTTTATTTGTTTTTTTTAGGGATATTCTCACCCATTTGAATGAGACCGATTGCCTTCATGGCGTACAACATGAAAGTTTTTGTCACTCACCCCAAATTATTTCACCTATAGTTCGAACAAGAGACCTTTCGATTTTTATTTAAATATAAAATAATTTTGGCTTTAAAAAAATAAATCCTTTCAAAAAACAATCAATAGAAAGATTTTTTGCAAATCTCATTCGAAAGCCCTTCCTCATTGAACCTATCTTTCATACTATTTGAGTATACAAACATATAAATAAGTTAAGAAGCACCCTTTGATTTTAATAAAAATTACTTTTGGGCGAAAACAAAGTCCATGGGCACTTGTACTACATAACAATGAGCAAAGCTTTCAAAATCTCCATTTTGGGCTGCCCGTAGTGTTCAGAGAGCCTGCTTCTGTTGACATGAGACAATATAGCCCCCAGGATCACATGATTCAATGAAACGATATGACTTTGGCTGAAATTACGTGAAATTACGTGTGTTGGAGAACGCATTACAGTGCTTCATTGAAGTTGAAAATATTGATATCCTCCCCAGTCTAAAACAATAATAATAATATGATACGATCCAGTCCAAGCCTACTCAGGTATATAAAAGGGACAAGCACAGGAGGAATTGGGCTTCAACTAAAGGTGATCAGGGCCCAAATATCACTGAAGCAAAGGATGGTGACTCAGCAAATTCTGTTGCAACAAACTGAGTGCGCGCAAGGGAGTAAAGGGAAGGCTGAGGAGAGAGGGAGGGGGATCGAACAAAAAAGAGGAGAATTGAGACCTTGGGAGAGAGTGGAGCCTCTCCAATTGCTTCACATTATCTTTCTTTTCCTGCACTTTTTTGATTTACATTGTTGTGTTGTTTCCTGTTTGAAAGAGGAGCTTAATTGATCCTGATGGACAATTTGCCTCTGAGGATGAATTAGAAGTGTAATTGGAGCTTATCATTTTCAGTTATAATACAGATATGGACGTATTTCCTTCATAGAGCTGTGTTTCGTTTCTGATTTGAGTTGATTTACTGTTGATTGTGGTTGGTCTGTATCAATTCGTTGTTGGTCTGTATCATAATAATAACGAAATCATAAAATACTTATAAGATTAATTATATTCAGACAAAGCTTTCGTACACGCACAAAGTTTACAAATATACAAAAAAAAAAAAAAGTTTACAAATATACCAATCGCTGATACTTCCAACACCGACAAAAGAGATTGAAGTCACAACTCACAGAGTCACAGACACTAAAATTGTCTTCAACCTTCCGTTCACATCACATACATGTAACCAAATGATGCAGATGCACTTTACATCAAATATAAGAGCATGAGAATATATATACTTGGTTTTGGCTGCTCAACCTCACAATGGATTGAGCATAATCTAAATTAGGCAAAACTATGATGCTTGGTTTTGTTTGTCGGCTCAACCTCACAATGGATTGAAAATAATGAAAATTATGACGGGTGACATTAGGCCACAGATTAGAACAACTGCCTTAAAAGGAAGGACTATCACAATCCGGTATGGATTGCAAATTTCGCCATGGTCACTCATGGATCACTTATGCCTCACAAAAGTGGACGAAGACCATAAAGATCAAGATAGCTTGCCAATAAAGAATTTATAAATGAACAGGCATTCAAAAAAACTTTACACCCATGATCAAACCATACACTAATCCAATATTTGGCAACAAAGGCTTAACGTAAACGTGCTTCTTTCCCCAATTGACTCTGGATATTTGATAGTTCTCCATCAACTTTTGAGAAAATCCTTCAAGGAAAAGGGTGGAGGCCCATCCTACAAAGAGTAATGAAAGAATCAGATTGAACACGTGGTAATTTGTGCATAATATAGGAGTTACAGCTCCTTTCACACTAATGTCAATGTTGTGTGTTCTCATCTAAAAAGAGATGACCAATCCAAGGGTTTCTCAGTTAGAAATTGTGTCAAATCTTAAATTAGGTAAGCTATGCCCATTACCTTGCCGGCCTCTTGACTTAAGCACTGTCGTACCACTGTAGCCTGCTGTATTAGCCTCTCCATTGCTGTGTAACTCGGAAGTTTCAAGTGTGCTGGCAATCACCACCATAAAAAAAAAAAAACATATTTAATATGGTAGATACAAGTATAAAGATTTGCAATGAAATACATTAAAAACAAGGAAACATGCAGAAATCAAGTTAACCAACCAAGAATAGCTCGGTTCAAACTATCCGCAACCTGTTGCCGATAATCTAAGCTAAGCAAATGAAACATCGGGGATTTCTCTGGTTCCTTATAAGCAAGAAGAGCCATAAAGTCCTGCAACATTGGCAGCTTAATATTTATTCAATCTTAAGCATGTAAAAAAACACCTACACATATATTAACAACACCTTTATCCCAGATATATATATCACAAAAAAATAATGCAAGACTCAAACATACTTCGAGTTTTTCCATATATTTGGGCTCCTTTCCAAAAGGGCTCAACTTGGTCTGAGCAAACTCCAAAGCTTCTGTGCTGCCAATAAAATGAGATTCTATGAAAGCAGGAAGTTTACAGCATGTTCTCTTGGAGACAAAACTAATCTCTGCTCACCATTTCCTAGAGCAAACAAGCTCGACAAAATGAAGGCTTAGAAGATCAAACTCCAAATCCTTATTGTTCTCTAGAATATCCTGCGCCAGCTGTTCAGTTAGCTCAATAGCCTTAAGCGCATTTCCCTCGAGTGCAAAGTGAAAAATTCCTGAAAAATGAAATTTACCACGAAGGGGGTCTTTACAACTTATAATATTTTCCCAAAAAAAAAAGACAAATAACTTAATAGATATCAGGGGCATTTTCCCTGCACCCTCTGCCAACAGTTTGCAGACAAGTGGAGGAAATATAAAAAAAGTCAAGAGAAGCCTAATTGATATCTTCTAGTAAAAAATATTTGGAAGGAAAAAAGAATAATAAGAATTCAAATGTGTTTAAGACAAAAGTCAGCTGCCATTTCAAAGAGCAGAAGATGTTCTAGTATTAGAGCAAACAATGATACATGTTCTAGAATTAGAGCAAACAATGATACAACATCCTTCTATTAGGGGTTGACTAATCCAATGTGCATTTGTACATGATACAAAATTTTCCCATAATAGTTATAAACGAACATTTGATGCACACTAATCTTCCTGGGGAGCAAGCAAACAAAATATGATTAGGAACCAACCAAAAGTCATTAATTAACTTATACACTGAAAGATAACATAAAACCTACTTTTTCTTTTCTCCATGCCTTCCAAATAATCAGCTGGCTGCTTCATCCCAGTGCAAGCAATGAATGACTCTACTGATTCTTTGTAACAATTATGTATAAGATATGACAGAACAATATTGTGGATGTCATTATCATTTATAGCCTGCAAATTCAAGAGGCCAATAAAAATTACAGAACTTAGTCACATTTATTATGGCAATATAATTAATATAACCAGGAAAAAAACAATAATTGTCAATAGAAACCCAGTAGAGCATACTAAATGCGTTCAATCTCAGCTTAATAATGTTTTCTCTTTATTTTTATTTTTTGTTCAAAAAAAATTTGAGGAAGAAAGTGCAAACACCACTACCAAAAAGCATATTCTCAAGTTTTAAATCACTATTTACAATGTATGAAGACTAACAAACTTGCAATACCTCAGAAGGAATGAATTGAAATTGAATAAAACGAAGTAACTTAATGAGCTACGCCATAGCGAGAGCGCAGGAATAATATCATATTTCATGTTTTCAACCCCTCTTTAGTTCAATTTTCAGTATCAGAAGTTAGGGTTGGGGAAGAATATCTTTCAGTCAATAATTAATTGAAATATTTGCCATGGCGGGTCAAGGGTTTCGGATACAAAAATCACTTGACGGTGGCTACGAGTGATAGAAACCAATTGGGATACAAAGTATGTCACTGGAACCCTAACTATTCATTAAAAAAAATGTAATTAAATATTCAGAGTAAGAAAAGGGCAACAACGACGACGACGACGACAACAACATATTATCCACCGGCTAAATACTCATTAAAAATCTCCACCCCAATCTACAAGATAGGTCTTAACAGTAAGGAGTAGAGAAGAAGAATTGTAGTACAACAAGTAAAACAAAAAAAGGATATAAACATACAATGTTTTCGTATTGACGAGGATCGAGGTCCATGATTTGGTAGAAGACTGAGAGAAGGGCAATAATCAGATGCGGATACAACTAAAGGCGCCGCCAGTTAACAGTTTGCGCTGCCGTGGCTACAAAATGATCCGGTCCGATCCCTCCATTGCGATTGACAGCCAATTCCAATTCCAATTCCAATTCCACCGCCCAAGCACTTAACTCGTCTTGGCCGTAGGGTTGAAAGCGGGGGCTGGGCGAGCTTAGTGAAGTTTATGTAAAAAAAGTTAATTTCACATTGCCCAAAAAGTATTATTATTATCTTTTTTTTGGTAAATCCCAGAAGTATAATATAAATCTAAGTGTTAGTTTAATATTACTCATTTATAACAAAAATCAAATGATTTGGCCTAATTCATTAGCATTTAATCAATTTTATAAAATACTCAAATTCTGTTGTTAAAACAAAAATCACAATTTTAAAGTTTAAACAAAGGCTTTAATGTTTCTAAAGTGAATGTAGATAAGTTATTTACATTCGCTCCCAAAATGTTTTTGTTTTGAGTTAAAAAATTAAAAAATTATGATAAAAAATACTATTATAACCCTGAAATAAATTATAATTACAAAAATATCTTGATTTTCGTCTCAAAACGACATCGTTTTGGGCTCAATATAGATAAGTTACCTACATTGACGGTAGAAAAAGTGAACCCTTAAACAAAATCATGAATTACAACTACTTATCACAATCTGTATTTAAATTACTTTTAGAAGCAAAATATCCAAACTAAATCAATAAGTCCATATTATGTAAATTAAAATAACTTCATGAATCCAACAAATATATCATGATGCTTGTAATAGCCAAAAATTTTGGGAGAGTGACCAAAGTGCCATGCTTGGACAAAAAAATTACCAGACTACCACGCCAACAGTAAATTTTGTCAAAATACCACGCGACATAATCCACGCCACAGTAAGTTTGTCAAAATACCACGCGGCATAATTCGCTACACAGTGTAGCGAATTATGCATGCAAGTAATTCGCTATACAGTATAGCGAAAAATGCCAGATCAGAATGTACAGAACCAAAAATGCCACATGTCAAATTTTGAGAAATTTGCTACATAGGGTAGCGAATTTCTCAAAATTTGACATGTGACATTTTTGGTTCTGACGTGACATATTTCGCTACACAGTGTAGCGAATTATTGGCATTTTGGCAAAATTTACTGTTGGCGTGGCAATCTGGTAATTTTTTTGTCCAAACGTGACAAAATAGTCACTGTTCCAAAATTTTCTCATCATTTTCTCTCTCGTGCAAGTACAATTCTTCGACAAACAATTTGTAATTGTGGAAAACAAAAGAACAAAATTAAAAACAAAAATTTTTTTTATACCTTTTATTTTTTCTTCAAGCAATATTTATTACGTAGCTAATCTCCACCGTATATTAAAATTTGGATGGTATATTCAACCAAGTTAAAACGAAAAGCATCAATAACTCTTCCTCTAACATTAAATGTTGATTCTGATACTAGTGTAAAAATTGGTATAAATCATGTCACTCCCAAAAGTAGTATTGGTACAGGATCAAATCTAGGTCATTCCACCACCTACTCAGCTCACATACACCAACTGAATTATCACCATTTGATATTACTATAAATATTATTTAATTTAATTTAAAATATATAATACGATATAAGCCGGCACTATAGGTTTATAAGTCCCGTATATAAAAAAAAATTATTACCTATTTTTTAAATAGAATTTTTTAAAAATCTAAATTTATTATATTTGATTATATATAATAAGTTGAATCTGATATGATATAAATTAAGTCGTACTATAAACTGATATGCCACTTACACCCCTAGTCTTGGATACTCCTGTGCTGCTGCGAGTGATGCAGTAATTAATTTTGTGTAAATAGTTTAATTAGTCTCTAAAAGAGCAATAGGTCCATCATATTAGATTATTAGTACATAAAAGGTCTCCTAAAGTGCAATCTCTCCGTCTAAATAATGATCACCTCGTTATCCGTGGCACATTGAGGGCCAATGCTGTTTGAAATTGACACATACAAATCGTAAAATAGAAAAGAGAACCGGAACATAAAAATATCACCTTTGAAAAATCACATGGGCAGTATAAATGGTAGAAGACCACCCTAGATCAAGATGTTAGGATAAGATCACCTTTGATCTTATTCTTCAACTAATGAAGACCAAGTCTTTAGGAAGAGTTTGTTAATATCTTGTATCTGTATAGTTTGGTTAAGATAGTTTGTTTGTTCTCCATATAGTATTGTTACGATAGTATTAGTATTGTTACGATAGTTTGTTATCGTTTGTTTCAGTTTGTTATCGTTTGTATATATAATTGGCTATCTGCCACAAAGCAATACAACACTTATCATTCAATCCTTTCATACTTTTCTATATGGTATCAGTTTAACAGTAACGATCCAATTTCCCATGGCTGATTCAGATTCTTCCGCTGCCAATGACAACCACTGTGGTAAGCTATACCATGATGTCTCTAAATGTTACCAACTTCATGGCAAACCACCCTATGGTCGGGGTAGAGGACGTGGCAAACCCTATGACAAAAGGAACTACACAATTAGTTCTCCTGCACCACAAACCGCAGTTGCCATACCTACGTTTTCCAACCCGAATTTCGTTCCAAATCTGACTCCTGAGATTCTTCAGCAGATTGCCAACATGGTTGTCTCTCCCTCTACACCCTCTGCTAATACTACAACACTTTCTGGTAAGCACATTCCAAATTACACCTGGTTAGTGGATAGTGGTGCTTCTCAACACATGACTGGGAATCTTCAATTAATCTCGAATGTTGAATCCATTCCACCTACTTCCATAGGCTTACCAGATGGTGATCAACTCGTATCAGTTCAACGAGGAATTTTTCAGTTGACATCCAATATTATTCTTCAGGATGTGTTATATGTTCCACAATTAAAATGCAATCTTATCTCAGTTGCTCAATTACTTGCTGATACAAATTGCATTATTTCTTTTACTCACACTGGATGTGAATTGCAGGACCCCACAACGAGGATCAAGATTGGACTGGGTAGATTGCAGGCTGGTGTTTATGTGCATGACTCCTTAAATAAAAGATCCTCCCTTACTGCATGTACTGCTCAAAAACAACAGACTGCAGATATTTGGCATCGTCGCTTGGGTCATCCGTCGTTTCAGTCCTTGCATTTTCTCCCTTTTGTTACAATGAATAAACATAAGGAAATTTCTTCTTCAGTATGCGATATTTGCCTTAGAGCACAACAAACTCGCACTGTATTTCCTGTTAGCATTAATAAAACTACTTCATGTTTTGATCTTATTCATTGTGACATATGGGGTCCATATCAAACTGCTTCTTTAACTGGTGCAAGATATTTTTTAACTATTGTGGATGATTTTAGCCGAAATGTCTGGGTTTATTTAATGAAGACTAAAACTGAAACGTTCCAATACTTATCTCAGTTTCTCTTGATGGTTCGTACTCAGTTCAATGCCAATGTCAAAATAATACGATCCGACAATGGTTCAGAGTTCTGTGCTACTAATCTTCGTAAGGTTTACTCAGACATGGGGATTATACACCAAACATCATGTGTGGACACACCACAACAAAATGGACGAGTCGAACGGAAACACAGACACATTTTGAATGTAGCACGGGCACTACGCTTTCAAGCTCATCTTCCCATTGAATTTTGGGGAGAATGTGTTCTCACTGCTGTTCATCTAATCAACAGGACCCCGACACCTCTTCTTCAAGGACAGACTCCATTTGAACGCCTTTTTAATCGTACACCAAACTACGATCACATTCGTGTCTTCGGATGCCTTTGTTATGCTCATCCACGTCCCAAATTGTCAGACAAGTTTGCTGCAAGGTCAGTCCGATGCCTGTTTCTGGGATACCCTTTTGGCAAGAAAGGATGGAGGCTTTATAACCTTGATACACAGACCATATTTGTCTCTAAAGATGTGGTATTTGAAGAAACCATCTTTCCCTATGAAACCCAAACAGAAACTCCTACCAACATTGAAGTTTCCCAACTGATGCAGTCTCATGTTGAAGCAGAACCAACACCGGCTGCACACGACACATCTTCTTCCACTCAATCAGTTGATTGCGAAATTGCACCACATCCTACAACTCCTGCAGATGTTAACCAACGCTCTTTACCTTTGGTTGCACACTATGAACAGTCCATACTACCAGGAACTGTTACATCAGATAATCTAGTCGACCAACATGAACAGTCTCAAATACCATCAACTACTGCATCAGAAACTTTGGGTCGTGGTCATCGTTCTCGCCATCCTCCCAAATATCTCAAGGATTATACATGCACCAATGTCATAGCATATAATCCAGCAGCCTCTTCTACCTCCTCCAGTCTATCCTCAGGTATTCCTTATCCCATTGCTAACTTTGTTTCTTGTTCTAAATTTTCTCCCGAACATCAACAGTTTCTTGCTGCCATTTCTTCTGGAGTCGAACCTAAATCATTCAAAGAAGCTGTCACAGATGAACGATGGCGTTTAGCAATGCGAAAGGAAATTGATGCACTTGAGCAAAACAAAACATGGGAGCTTACTTCTTTGCCACCTGGTAAACGTGCAATCCCTTGTAAGTGGGTCTACCGCATCAAATACAATTCAGATGGTACTGTGGAGCGATTCAAAGCACGGCTGGTAATTGCTGGTAATAATCAAATACCTGGCGAAGATTACTTTGACACATATGCTCCTGTAGCAAAGATGGTTAGTGTGAGGACACTTCTGGCAGTAGCAGTTGCCAAGAAGTGGAAATTATACCAGTTAGATGTTACAAACGCCTTCTTACACGGAGATCTTAAAGAGGAAGTTTATATGCGAGTTCCTCAAGGCTTCCAGCATCACAAACCCCATCAAGTATGCCGCTTATATAAATCACTCTATGGATTGCGACAGTCCCCCATAAATTGGTTTGCTAAGTTGCGGTCATCTCTTGAGTCCTACGGTTTTACTCAATCTAAGGCTGATTATACTCTATTCACCTTACACAAGAATGGTCACTTCATCGCTCTTCTCATCTATGTTGATGATATTATCTTAACTGGGGATGATGCAACCACATGCAATGCTGTCAAAACTTTTCTCCACTCATGCTTCCATATCAAAGATTTGGGGATTTTAAAATATTTTCTTGGAATAGAAATGGCTCACAGTTCTTCTGG